TTCTGGTGTTGGTCCTCCCATTTTGAGGTCAAAGGGTTCTGAGCTCTCTCCCTCCCTGCTCTCTCCGGGCTCACACTTGTCCTGCAGGAAGGCCTTGGCAACCAGTTAGAAACAGTGGTGCAACCCAGATATCTCCATCTCCTCTGATTGTGGTGCTTTAAACAAAGATTTCACTCCATTCTCGAAAGGGGTGTAGCAAAGGACTAGAGGAGACTCTGATGAAGTAACTACTAGTGAATTAACTCTCTACAAACCATTTTCCAATGGTGTCTTCCCATTTCTGTAGACTGGCCTTGTTTCTGGCTCGGTCGCCAGGACCAGGTCTCATATAATATTAGGTTACTCCTAGACAGGTTTGAGAGTGTGAAAGTGCTAGGATTTGTCATGATAAACAAGGATTCTCAGGTCTAGCATATCTCAAATATAATACTCCAACTAGATTTTCTGAGATTCAAGTTCATTTTTCTAAGTTCAAACCAAATCTCTAGTAATGGAGAGAACCAGTTTATTTAATTATTAAGCACTTAGCATTTGTTCAATATTACCGTGGAGAGCAAAAATTACAAAATACTAGAAAACAGTGGTACAAATTCTCAAATCACTTAAAGAGCTTAGTGGAGAGATAGTACAAAGTCACACTGAATAATTGCCTAACAACAGAAACAGAATACAACTAGATGTATAAATGTGTTGATAACACTATATGCTGGACTTCTTTCTGGCTCAGTTTCCTAGATGAGATCTTACATAATACTGTGTCCACTCTTAGACAAATTTGAGTGTTTGAAAAATCTGGGATTTATTAAGAGAGATACAACCAGTTAAAGTACAGTAGTTCCCTGGCTGGATTAATATAGTAGCAATGTTAGGAGAGACTGGAGGGATAGGATTTAGTTAGGAGGCTGCTGCAGTAATTTAATAAAAGTGATAAGGATTCCTATTGATAGTAGGAAGAAAAAAGGGAAGATGAATGTCTAGATAAGTCAGTATATAGCCCATGGGTCTCTCGATGCATGTTATATTCAACCTTAAGATACAGTATTTAAATATCAGCAATGATTATGGTGACAATCCTAAATTCTAACAAACTTTTATAGTGATTGATTTAGCTGCAATTTTAAAATGTCAAAAGAGGGAGAGATGAATAACAGAAGTTTGCAGGAAGAATGGCCTCTGTCAGGAGTAGGGACATTCTCCTTGGAGATCATCACCCTTGAAGTCTGTCTACCCAAGTCTGCCCTGAGTAGCATGTGGTGTGTCTGGGCAGAACAAGATATAACCCACATAACAAGCATCACCAGACTCTGTCCCTTAATTTCAATCCAACAAGTATTTATTGAGCACAGCTATAATCCAGCTCACTGCTAGATTTGTGTAAAGTATACCATAGTTACATATTTTTAAAGTTAGTTTCCATGATTAAACTATCTATACAGAGTAACAAAATATCCATCTTGTTTTATATATATATAACAACTAGAAAAAATTAGAATATAAGTGCCAAAGGTATAGTAAAGACAAAATTGGCCATCTTTTAATTTCTTAAACCTGTTCCACCCTTTCCCTCTGACTGGCGCTCTGCCCCTCCCCTCTCCACCCCACTTCTCTTTGGCTCCGTCTCAAACTTCAGGTTCAAGCTTAAATGTCAATTCCCCAGAGAGGCCTTCCCTGCTTCCCTGTGTAAAGGCCTTTTCAGTTTATCTTTCTTCATAGCAATTTTCATCATCTTTAATTATCTGGCTTATTCACTTATTGAGTCCTTTAATGTTTGACTTCCTCACTGGACCATAAACTTCATGAAGTCTTTAAAACCACCAAATAGCCTCTGGGGTAGTAAGTAGCACAAAGCAGATATTCAATAAATATTTGTTTAATAAATACATGATGTGTATTACTTTTACTAATTGAACAGTTTGAACCAATATCATGTGGGTTAATTATCTTAAAGTCTTACTTTCTAAAACTGTTATAAAATAAGTAGTTTCCTGAAAATCTGCAAGAATAGACTGTCAGAATGACATTCTGTTAAATATAGTCTGCTGGTCATTTATAGTTCAGCAGAGATTTCCGATGGCTCAAATTGCACCCCCCTCCCATTACTCTGTATCTTGTAAAGAATAATTCCAGCCTTGATATATGAGAAAAAGTAAAACTGGAAAAATGTAAAGAACAATTTTAACAAGGTTCTATTTTAGGAGATTTTCTTATTTCCTTTAAAATAAAATAAGAAAGTCTTTGTCATATTAGGTATCTGTGGCAATAAGCCACTTGACATATCTGCATGAACGTATTGAAATAAAACATTTGCAAATCATTCCTTTCCAAGTATGGTTAAATGAACCTCTATACTTATCTATTACAACTCAATCATTGCTACTGTTCAAATATGTTAGGGTTGAATGTAACATGGAAATGGAGGCACAGAATGATTAGCATTCATGGATCCATAAATGTCTCATGCTACTAGTTTAATAATTTTCTTTAGATTTTTCACAATTATGGTATATTTTACATCCTGAAACATAACATTTAATATGTTATTGATGCTGAAGGGACAAAAATAATGTACAATTATTCTAGAAAAACAAATTCCAACTATTTATTTTGAATTTTAGACTTATTGCTAATTAAGAATGTTTATAGTTAATCTAATATTATAGTGTAACCTTGAATGTAGCAACTGAAATCAAGAGAAACTGCTAAATGCAACTCTTTAGGAAAATCTAATAAAAGATTTGTAAGGCTATTTGATGCAATTAAAAGTTATAATTATTTCTAGTCTATAGCAAGATAAATTCAGTTTGTTTGGATGTCAATCTACCAGTACATCTTGAATTGGGGGGAATCTCATTTTGATATTTAATATAGAAATTGGACTTTGAAAGTGAGTTCTGCATGGCCTGAGACATGTAGAAATTAATGTGAAAATAAGTAACTGGGTATAAATCTTGGGGAAAAAAATCTAGTAGAAGCTACAGCCAAAAACACTTCAAACAGAAAAGTCCTGTAGCCTTCTGGCTTTTATGGTTTGGGACTCCCTCTAGTGGTTCAGCCTTTTGGTGCTTTAATTGGTGTTCTTCAGGTCATTGAATCACCAACTTTTGTGTTACATTAAAAAAAATTTTTTTAAAGAACTACACAACTCCTATTATAATGGTTTTCCACAAGGAGAAGACTATATTAGTGAATAGTACAATAAATGTGAATATTAAGATGGTGTTGCAATGGTCTGACCTAAAGGGACAGTGGATTTAAGCCAGTTACAGTTCTGCTGAGAGTCTGTGAATAAGAGCTGAAGGCCCCGGAACAGGATTCTTGGTTGATCTAAGGTGAGAAGTGGGCCTTTTAGGGAAAGGGTGAAGTGAGTATTTCATGGGTATATGTGCTCAACAAGGTCAGGTAATTCTAGTTTGACCTTGTATAAAGTCAATCTTTCAGACCAACCCAAAGCAACATGTAATTTCTTCCCCTTCATATCCTTAATATCACAGCCTTTACATTTGTTTAAACCAAATGCGGAAAACTCTAAGTTTGATTTACATAACTTTGTTTGCTTCCTTGTGTTAGTTTTGGTTATGCTTTTGCCTATATCTTATGAAATGTCTCCTACCTCTTCCACATGATCACATGAAAAATGTGAGGACTTTTATGTTTACTCCATTAAACTTTCACAACCTGTGGCCAGTTCTGCACTGTAGAGACACATAAACATGCCAACTCTCTTATAAGAGAGTCCTATACATATTTAAGACCATGATGTCTACATTGTCTTCTTTCCCTTTTTCTGAATCCTCAAAGCTTCTTGGAACCAGAGTAAAAAAAGAACTGTGAGATACAGTCATCATTACAGAGTAACTTGGTGGGCACTTTATTCGCGCCTTCAGGGGTCTGTAAAAATATTGTTTTTTTATTTCAGAAAATACAAAACTGTTACTGAAAAGTCTGAGTTAGGAGGACAGAAGCCAATAAAATTAAAATAAAAAAGAAAATTGGATGAAATGAGTGGTTTAGCCATTTCAGGACCACTTCTTAGTATGCAGTTTTCTGACTCCTTGTAAGTTGTCCCAGCACCGGAGCTAGAAACCTACAGCAGAAACCAGATAATTGACTGTGGAATCCAAAAGTCAGTCACAGTGTTTGCCCTGAGGTTTGAGTAGAGTGAGGCCAGGAAGTTGCATTGGTTTTAAGATCTCAGATCAGACAGTACTTTCTATTGAGAAGACATTGCATAGAGTCTGCAGCTGATTACACTTGACCCTTGAATGCCTGTTTGAACTGCCTGGGTCCATTAATGTGGGGATTTTTTTCAATAACTACATACAGTACTGTATTTTCTCTTTCTTATTACTTTCTTAATAACATTTGTCTCCAGACTACTTTATTGTAAGGAAATAGTATATAATACATACAACATATAAAATATGTCAACCTAGTGTTCATGTTATCGGTAAAGCTTCCGGCCAATAGTAGGCTATTTGTAAATTTTGAGGGAGTCAGAAGTTATACACACTTTTGATGAAGGGGGCACCTTTAACTCAGTGTTGTTCAAAGGCCAACTATTTGCATAAGTAAGGAAAAACCAACTCTCCAGTGACTTAAGCACTCTATCTGCAATCTCAATTTTAAAATTTCATAAATTGGGGTTGCAGTGAATGTGGAAAAAGTAGAGGTAGAAGGATGTGAGTAGTATAAAAACAAGGCACTTTTTAAAATTTTGAATATCCGTAGTTCTTTTTGGTTCGTAGAATTTAAGAGAGGAAATGTATTTCAGCTGATAAGAGGAAAGATTAATTCTCTGTGGCTAAAGATGGAGAGAATAATAGCAGAAGTTTAATGTAGACAGGCATCGCATCTAAAACAGGACTCAGTACTGCTGTCCCCTAAATAATCACTCATCACATGAATAGAAGTGGTTATGATGGTGTGCCACCAATATGTCAGATGGCCCAGTTTTACTTCTTCCCTCTCTTCAAAGGATTTAAAATGCTCCATGTGCTACTCCCTTGCTATGCTGACGCTTTTCTATATACAGATTGGAACCCAGGTTGTCGAAGGCGCCACGGCTGTTTCTCAGCTACTCAAAGTCCCCTGAGCCATTAACACTAGAGCATTCCAAAATACTGTGCCCACGGGGGCTGCAGCAGCTTCCCAACAAAACGGCAGTCTCCAGGCTGACTTTACAAACGAGCACGTGGTGACGCTCGAGTCCGAGAGCCAGGGAAAGAGGATACTATGCCGGTGACTCTGCAAACCGCCAAGTCGTTAGACCTAGTTGAGTTAGCTTTGCGCTGCCTCCTAGACGCCCTTAACGAACGCTTCAGCTGTAAAGCTCTGGAATCCGCCCCTGTTTTTCTTTAAACCCGACACCACCACAGACTATACCCCAGCGCCCTAGCCTTTCCGATTGGCCCTTTTGGCCTCCACTCGGACACTAGTGACTTTTTTCCTGGTGCATGCGCGTCAATTGCTTCCGGCCGTGGTGCTCGGTGTACCGGCTTTTGCCGCCCGGGTGGAACTTTTACCCAGCTTCGCTCGGCCTAGGTTCCTCCTTGTGCAATGGCTTGGGACTCAGGTTCCCTTCCCGAAGGACCTCTCTTAAGGCTCCTACCCTTAGACTCTAGGGATCGGGGCACCCAGCGCTGTCGCCTGGGCCCCGCAGCCTTCCGAGCCTTGGGCGCGCACTTGGGCTCGGCGGTGAAGATCTCGCTGCCTGACGGCGGCTCCTGCCTTTGCACCGCCTGGCCGCGGCGGGACGGAGCTGACGGGTTTGTACAATTGGATGCGAAGTGTGCGAGCCCCGGGTGCGCAGTCGGCGCGCCGGGGTTCCAAGGGAGTCTCAGCCTGAGCCACCTCCGCCTGGTGCCCTGCCCGCCTCTTCGGCGCCTCACTGTGTGGCCGGAGTTGCGTGAGCGGGCCGGCGCGCCCGGTGCTCCAAATCCAGCCGCGGTGTTGGAGGCAGCACATGAGCTTTTGCGGAACCGGCCAGTCTCCCAGGGCCACGTGGTGGCCTGCAGCCCCGGCATCCCCGGCCCCGTGGCCGCCCTGCACATCGTCAGCGGGGTGCCTAGTCCGGATCCCGCTGGGCTGGTCACTCCTCACACCCTCATCGGCCTCAGCGAGGTGCCTCTGTCGGAAGCGCAGTCGCAGCCCGAGGTGCCTTTGGGGGGTCTTTCGGAGGCGGCCGACTCGCTGCGAGAGCTCCTCTGCCTGCCGCTCCGCTATCCCCGCGCCCTGGCCACGCTGGGGCTAGCAGTGCCCCGCGGGGTGCTCCTGGCGGGTCCCCCCGGAGTGGGCAAGACCCAGCTAGTGCGGGCTGTGGTCCGGGAGGCGGGCGCGGAGCTGCTGGCAGTGAGCGCCCCAGCTCTGCAGGGCGCCCGGCCCGGGGAGACTGAGGAGAACGTGCGGCGGGTTTTCCAACGCGCCCAGGAGCTGGCCAGCCGCAGGCCCACTCTCCTCTTCCTGGACGAGGTAGACGCTCTGTGCCCGCGGCGGGGCGGCCCACACCAAGCTCCGGAGAGCCGCGTGGTGGCCCAGGTGTTGACGCTGCTAGACGGCTTCGGCGGGGACCGCGAGATGGTGGTGGTGGGATCCACCAACCGTCCGGACGCGCTAGACCCAGCGCTGCGCAGACCTGGAAGATTTGACCGAGAGGTAAATAGGCCAGGCCAGTTAGCCTATTACTCTGGAACCTCGTCCTCTTCTGGCCCCTGCTGGCTTCTGCGAGGTGTTTGCCACTTAGGTTCGGAAATCGGTGAGGCTGGTGGGGGTGTTTGTCATGCAAAGGACACGTTCGTTCAATGTCAGTATATGGGCTGTGAGCCAGGACGGTTTGTTTTCCCCACAATTGTTCCGAGAAGCAGGGTGGCCACTGGGGGTTAGTTTTGTTGGGCAGGTCCTGAAAAAGCGTACTGTCATCGGTAAAGCTAATTTTTGGGGAAAGTAGGTCTGCTACAAGTGCATTAAACCTTAATGAATTTGGAATGAGAATTTAAAGTAAGATGAATGCCTCGAGATATAAATGTGTTAAAAGAAAAGGATGAAGACGGAAGAAGTAAATCAGAGCAGACGCAGCTTGAATAGTGTTTAGTCGAAGTGATGTTTGAACTTTGGGTGGGATTCTAAAGATAATAGATAACAGATATTATCTAAAGATAACAGATAACATTTGCACACTTTTAGCTTACCCTGCTCTGAACTTGAGTGGATTTCTTCTTCACACCATCTAGTCCCACTCTCAAATCACCTCTGTAAGGACTGGGACCTGGCTCTTAGAATTTGGTATAGTCTCAAAAATAAATAAAAACTTATTAAATGACCTTTGTAATTTTCATTGTGCGGCTTTATAGACAGTGTTACTATTCTGGGAATTGAGAATTTTCATATGTTCAGAATCTAAGGAATGCTTAAGAGTACACAGTAATAGTTTCTAATTTGCTCACTAAATCATTGTACATGTTTGTGAAGATAAAAAATATTTTAAACTGTAAACTTTAATTTTTTGTTGCTTTGCATATAGGTTGTCATTGGGACTCCCACACTTAAACAAAGAAATGAGATTCTGCAGGTTATTACCTCAGAGATGCCCATCTCTCCTCAAGTCAACTTGAGCCTCCTTGCAGAAATGACAGTCGGCTACGTTGGCGCAGACCTGATAGCACTCTGTAGGGAGGCCGCCATGCATGCTCTGCTTCATGGGGAGAAGGTAGGAGACATGCCAAAAATACGTGTGCTACGTTTTTTACTAAGGTAACAAATTAATTTGGGGGATTAAACAAGTGGTAAGTACATTTTCTTGGAACTTTTGATACTTTTGATACCTTCCACAGCTGTTTCTTACTTTTGAGAATATACTGCGGCTACCATGCCCCTTTGGGGCAAGTCTTGAAAACTTGAGTGTATATTCCCCAAAAACAAGGACTTTAACTGCAGCACGCTTATGAAGATGAGGAAATTAACACGACATGATAATTTAGACCTTACCCAAATCTCACCATTTGTTCCATTGATTTCCTTTAGAGCAAAAAATTTTAAAAAGAGAAGTGAAAATACCATTTTTAATCCAGGATAACACACTGCATTTAGTTGTTCTGATTTCTTAATCTTCTTCAATCTAGAACCATTCTTCAGTCTTTTGTGGCTTTAACGTTTTGAGAGTGCAGGTCAGTTATTCTGTAAAATATTCATCACTTTGGTGTAACTAATGTTTCCTTATAATCTGATTCAGGTTTTGCATTTTTGGCAGGACTATCACAGAATGATCCTGTGTTCTCACTGCATCTGTTAGGTAGCGAATGATACCTCTTTGTCCCATGAACTTTGATTTCTTAGATAAGGTGGTATCTCCAAGATTTTTCCATTGTCGTACTATTTCCCTTTGTTATTAGTAAGTATCTTGTAGGGAAAATGACCTTTTCTAACTCAGGAAAAGATTGGGCACCTGGAATTTTATTTAAATTGGACTTGGACATTCAAATCTTTAATACCTTTATTAAAAATATTAGAATATTAGCTTAAATATAATAGTTTTCAACACTATAGATTGGAAAATCTGTTCACTTTGTATGTAATTAGTAATCTTGAATTCCTAACCCCCTTTAGAAAAAAGTTAATTTCAACATGCTGAAGACTGTCTCTGTTATAATGGGTTTATAATTTTTAAAAGTCAATTTTGAATTAGTTTAATCTATGAAAGGATGACTTATCCTAAAATTTTGAAACCTCTTTACCTAGATAATTTGTATCCTTCCTCTGTTCACGTATTTTTACTCTTACATTGATGTTGGGGAAGGAGTTACATAAACTTAAGTCCTCATCTTCTGGATTTTAGAGCTCAAACTTCTTGAAGATATAATGACAAGCCCCCATATAAAGTTGTGAGGACATATGCCTTTTGAGGGGATGAAGAGAGTACCAAGGGATGGGAAATGGAATTTACATTTAGGATTCCCTCTGCTTTGAAGTTCCAGGTTTGACCTTAAGCACCTTGGCTTAGGTGGACCAGCCAGCTGCTGTCGTCCTAGGGCAGAGCCCAGTGCTACTTGAGGAGGGGCCTGCCCAGGCGTAGTTACCACAGGTGATGGCTGAGGTCTTAAACAACCAGGGGAAGTGGAAGAAAGAAGGGCATAAAGGAAGAAGGGACAGAGGCACCTGGAGAGGTACTGGCTCCATCTTTTTCTTCTTTCCTCTTCGAAGCGGCTGAGGGCTTCCTACTGCCTCTGTGTGCACCAGGGCAGACAAGGGACACATTCAAGTTTGGTCAGCTAATTTTGTGAAGAATTCCTGTTAAAGGATGAGGATTAACAGAAATGCATGTACGAATGGAGGGAAAAGAATTTTATGTGCCTGAGAGGATTATGGGAGTCAAGGATTATGAAATAATATACATATAGGTGATCTAGAAATATTGATGGTATTTTCAAATGTTAGTAGGTACCTAAAGGTTAATTAGTCAGGTATCTAGTATCTGATACTGCCAGCTAGTTAAAAAAAAAAGTTATTGAAAAGATTATTTAACAGTGTTTTTTATAAAGAATAATCAACAAGATAAAAAATTACCAAGAAAGTAAAAATTGCCTGAAATCTCCCCCAGAGATTATAATTATTAACATTTTTAGGAATGCTGTTCAGAATTGCTCTCTATATACATATTCACTTACATCATCTTAGGATAAAATAGTTGGTTATTAAAAATGAAAATTTTTGGACAAGTAAATGTTTAGAATTTGATATCAGAGGGCATATACTTAAATGTAATGCATATAGTACAAATAAAAATGAGTTTTTAACTTGAACAAACAATCTGCTTCGCTAGAATGATTAAGGGAATTGCTAGAAGATTCTCCAGAATATAATCTTAGAGTGAAGACAGCCTTTCTTAGCATACCATAAAACCTAATAGCCAAAAAAGGAAATGGTTTACTAATTTGGCCATTTTGGAATGGCAAAACGATAAGCGAAGATAAGACACAGGACAGACTCGGGAAAAGACTTTTAGCCTGTGACAGAAATACCAATTATCTTGATATAGAAACAACTCTCATATGCCAATAAGAAAAGACAAATAATCCAAGAGAAAATGGGTAATAGTGCATGAACAGGTAGTTGACAGAAACAGGGTTACAAATGGTCAATAAACATGAAACATTCTCTTTAAAGATTGCACTCTTGGGTTTTTCTGACTTTCTATTTTGAGATAATTAAAACTTTAGGGAGAGTTGCAAGACAGGGAACTCCTGCTAAATCCTTTATCCAAATTCACCAGCTTTTACCATTTTACATAATTAGTTTTATATTGGATTGGCCAAAAAGTCTGTTTAGTTTTTTCCATAAATTAAGAGACACGTTTTTCATTTTCACCAGTGACTGTATTGATTTGGGTATTTTGAGTATTGGCTGTCTCCCAAGTGGTACAACATTGGTCGTTCTCAGTTGATGTGTCTTTGATTGCTGTCAACTTCAACTGGTCTCCCTGACCGTGGAGCATCGTCCAGTGAGAGATCTGCTTCACAAACCACTTTTGACACATTTGGTCATTCACAGCACCTTCTCTGTACACTGCACAAATCTTGTTTTGGCATTTCAGTCGCATTTTTACTTTTCTTGAAATAATAAACCATAATATGCCAAAAATGTTGTGTATTTTCTTCCGTCATCAATATTAAAATGGCTATATAAAAATTCACCAATTTCGATGTTTTTTCTTTCTTTTTTTTTTCCAATTTTGATGTTTTTTAAATGCATGCTGATATGACAGCTGTGACAATGTTTAAAATGAAGTTAAAGTCAACTGAGTGCTACTATGGCCATCTTATGGAAAAAAACAAAGGAGCTTTAGCCAATCCAATATTTCCTGTCTTTCTGTATGTATGCGTGTATGTATGCACATTTTTTTCTGAATCATTTGAGGATGGGCTGCATATATCATAACTCATTATCCTTTAGTATTTTAATGTCTATTTCCTAACAACAAGGATACTCTCATACATGACCACAGTATGGTTATATGTATTCATTATATTAGGAAATTTAATATTGATACAAAATATATCAGTAGTATCAAAATAGATCAGTAGATCAAAATGGTGTCAATAGATCAAAATGTATCAGATCTATAGTCCATATTTTTGTTTTGGTAATAGTTTTGATCTTTTTAGCATATTTTTCTTTGAGTACAGATTCTCATCCAGTATAATATGTTACACTTAGTTTTTATTTTTAATCTTGAATAATTTCATAGCCCTGTGTGTGTGTGTGTGTGTGTGTGTGTGTGTGTGTGTGAAATAGTCGATATTGACATTTTTTAAGGATGTGGGTTGGTGATTTTATAGAATGCCTCTCAGGTTGGGTTTGTCTAATGATTCTTCACAGATTTAGGTTACGTGTGCCTGTTGGGAATATTGTATAAGTGCGGTGTGTCCTTCTTAGGGTATTACATTTGGAGGCACAAGATGTCCCTAAGTGGTGACTCATGTGATCAACCAGTCAAGGTTTTGTCCAGTTTCTCCACCATATGGCTGCTGTCTTTCCATTTGCAACTAATAAATTTATGTGGAGACCTTCTCCTGGTCGAAATTTCCCTCCCCTAGATTAGAATCCATTAATGATTCTTGCTCAGAGAAGCCTTTAGTATGATGGTTCCAAAAAAGGTGATTTTCTAATTCCTTTACTCCCTCCATCTCACTCTCAATTGAAGAGATTTAATTAACACAATAGTGATTCCTATTTCCTCTGTCACACGGGAGAAGTTTAAGAGTTTGGTAATGTCCAGTGTCAGAGAGGTGTGGGGAGAACAGCACCTCTTTGTTTATTGGTGCAGCTTTGAGGACAGTTTGGTAATAAGCTGTTACAACTGTAAGTGTACATGTTCTTAAGCTCTGTGATTCTGCTTTGAGGAAATTACATAGAATTGACATGTAGCTCTGGTTGGTGTGGCTCGGTGGGTTGGGTGTCCTCCCACAAACCGAAAAGTCACCGGTTCGATTCCCAGTCAGGGCACACACCAGGGTTGTCTCCCAGGTCCCTGTCTGGGGCATGTGAGAGCCAACCCATCAATGTATCTCTCACACATCTGATGTTCTTCTGCTTTTCTTTCTCCCTCCCTTCCCTACTTTCTAAAAGTAAATAAACATAATCTTTTTTTAAAAAAATACTTGACATATAAAAGTGAGGCAGAAGAAAAGGAGTGAGATAGTGCTGTATTAGTTGACGTGAAAAGGTTTCTAAGCTATGTGAAAAAAGTACAAATTAATATGTATGGTATACCCATTTGTGTTATCTGTTTGCAAGGATATATGCATGCTTAAGATTATCAAACATGCTGGGAGAACACAGAAGAGACTCTTGGCATCCTCAGGGGATGACTGTTGGGGGGTAGTTGTTTGTACCATATGTATAAATTTTGTAATGATGAAACAGCTTTACAGATTTGAAGAGGATACAAAAAGTAATTATGCAAAAAAAGTCTCACCTCATTTTTGGTTTGATTTTGTTCTGGGTGTGTTTCTTCAGAACAAGGACAAGCCGATGATCGATGAAACAGACTTCCTTGAAGCTTTTAAAAAGATTCAGCCCTCATCATTTCGAAGTGTCATTGGGCTGATGGACATCAAACCTGTTGGCTGGGAGCAGATTGGTGGCCTTGAAGATGTAAAACTGAAGTTAAGGCAGGTGAGATAGAGAGGCTGCTCAAGCCAGAAGAATAATACTTCAGTTTAAGTGTAATCAGTGTGTTTATGGTGAGAGCAGGCAGTGCCCACGCCGCTCTTCCTGCCGTCACTACTTTGATCCCAACATTTAAATCCAGTGACCACTCCTCCCACAAACCGAAAAGTCACCGGTTCCATTCCCAGTCAGGGAATCGACCGCTCCTTAATTGGACTTCCATAGGCATCAAATAGTGGTTTTCATACTTCCCTACCTCATTCTCTTTTTGTTTGTTTAATGCTTTAAAGAGTTCATAATCTAGAGCAGGGGTCAGCAACCTTTTTCTGTAAAGGGCCAGACAGTAAATACTTTAGGCTTTGTGGGCCATACAGTCTGAACTGCAACCACTCAGCTGCCGTGGTAGCACAGTAACAGCCACAGGCAGCGCGTAGTGGGTGCTTGTGTTCCATTGAAACTTTCTTTATGGACCCTGAAGCCATGTAATTTTTACATCATGAAATATTTTTTCCCAAGCATTTAAAAATATCAAAATGATTCTTAGTTCACAGGCTGTACTAATACGTAGGTGGTGGGCCTTACTTTGGCCTGGGACTGGTAAAAGCACGACATTATAATAAACAGTGAGCCTGGCCCAGACAGCTGCTTGTACTGGTTCCCACAGTGGATGTTGAGGGACGCACCTCTCAGCTGTGCTTGCCTGCATTGCAGTCTCAGAAATAGATTTTGTCAACTTACCTTCCCATGATCCTGTCATACGGAACTAGGTTTCTCTAACCACACACGCAAAAGACTGATCTACAAATACCCATTATAATTCATCTTCACTAGGAGCTACAGCTACAGTGAACCCTGGCATCGCTGTGTCCATGGTTAAACACATTTATGATATGCCCTGACTTTCTACACGCATTGTCTCATTTAATCTTCACAAAATATGTGAGAGATGGGCCACACCTTTCTGTTGAAAGCCCTTTAGCTTTGAGATGTTAAGCTTTCCTGCCTTTCTGAACACTCCTCTCACGCACCTTAGATGTTAGTGCTCCAAGCTCCTGGAAGTCCTCTTTTTCCATTCTGTGAACGAGCCCATGATTTTGATGTCCACGACTTCAACTGTCCCCTGGAAACTTAACTTAAAAACCCTTATATTCTGCACAGACACTTCTTTTGATTATCAGAACTACCTAGCTGCCAACCTACTGGGTAACTTCCAGGGATCTCAAACTCAGCTTGTTCAAAGTTTAGCTAATCAGCTCCACCTCCACGCCTGGATTCCCTGCCCGAGTGCAGCCAGCCAGCCACCCCCAAGTCAGAAACCTGTCTTCTAAATGCATAGGCTCATAGCGTGCGTGCACATAACTTCCCCTCTGGATTTAGAACTTAGGCCCTGTGTCAATTACATCTTACGTTTAAATCCACCCCTTGCACACCTCCACTGCCTCTGACATAGGCCTTATTATTTTTGTGGTCTGAGTCATTACAAGAGAATTTTAACTGGTCTCCCTGCCTCTAGTTTCGTTTCCTTCACCTCCATTGTGTGTACTGCTCCTCAGTGTTGCCTAAAACTTCTAAGTCCCATTGTGACCTGACTCCTCCCTCCATTTCATCTCTGTTGCTTTTTGGTTCCCCCATCCTCCCTCTGTTCCTGCTTACTGTTGGCGGGTGAATTGGGTGTCTCTTTGTATGTATCGTTTCTTCTCTGTGGAATGCCCCTTCTCTCACCTGGTTGTCAGTGTACAAGCCTATCTCCCCACTAAAATATGAACTGCCTAGGTACAGAGGTCTTGCCTCATCCCTCTTTTGTAGAGAAGCAATATGGTGGAAGTTAAAAGCTCCTGCTCTTGATCTGCGCTGCCTGTAGTCGGTCTCAGTTCTGCCGCCTCACTAGCAATAAGCCCTGGACAAGTTACTTTTCTAAGCCTGAGTGTCAGCATCTGTAAAATGATAATAATAAAAATATCTACCTAAGAGGTAGTGAAGATTTATTTAACCATCTAGTTAACATTTATCGAGTGCCTGCTTTGCAAAGGTGTCATTCTAGGTGCTGGGGATTTAGAGGTAAAGTTGATGTTCCAGCAGAAGCAGAATAGAACAAACCCAGCATGGAAAAATAGTCATTTCAGGTAGTGCCCGAATAAGTGCTCCAAAAGTAAAGGCTGGGCAGTAGCATAGAATAACTAGGAGAAGGAGGGTCTGCTTTAATTAGAAAGGTTAGGGAAGATGTCCTCGAGGAGATGACGTTTGAACTGAGGCCTGCATGATGAGGGATAGCCACACAAAGATCTTGAGGGCGTGTTCAGGCAGAGAGAACAGCAGGTAAAGGAGCGAAGGGCAGTAGTCAGCTTATGTAAGGCCTTGTAAGCAGTGGTGAGTGAGGAGTTTGGATTTGGGATTAATTCTAGTCGTGATGACAAGTCATGGAAGGACTTTAGGAAGGAAGTGATGTGACCTGACTTCCGTTACAAGATTGCTGGCTGCTCTGGAGAATAGACTGGTTTTCCGGCTCACAATGGGTACCTGAGAATTGTTGAATGGGCAAATGAATTTACTGAATTATTTGATGTTTCATTGTATACTAAAACGACCATCTGTTTTTGTGTACTACAGAGCATTGAATGGCCTCTGAAATTCCCCCACGAATTTGTTAGGATGGGCCTGCCACCACCAAAGGGCGTTCTCCTCTGCGGCCCCCCTGGATGTGCGAAAACCACCCTGGTGCGGGCCCTGGCCACCAGCTGCCGGTGCTCTTTGGTTTCTGTGAGCGGAGCTGATCTCTTTTCACCTTTTGTTGGAGATTCAGAAAAAGTCTTGTCTCAGGTTGGTTTGTTTATTTTCCCCCATGCAGTTAAGTGTACTTTTGAATTTTCATTTCATACCTTACGGATAAAATTTGTTTTTTAAAATGTAACTGGCTTTTCTCTTGTTAGAAAAGTGATATAGGGGGAGGTAGTAGGGGAATAATGGGGGAAGGAAGGGGAAGGGTTGTCAAGGAGCATGTACAAAGGACCCAAGGGCAAAGCCAAGGGGGTAGGATTGAGGGTGGGAGGTGGGGCACTTCCCACTTGGGTCGGGGAGAGCAGTGGGGGGAAAGTGGAGACAACTGTATTTGAACGACAATAAAAAAGAAATAAATAAAAGCTGTTAATTTGAAAAAAAGTTGTACATATTTGTTTATTAGAAAATGTAGAAAATATAAATAAGAACTTGTTCGTAATCTTTCTACCTACATTAACATCTTGGTGAATTTCTTTTGTCTTTCTGTTTTCTTGGGCAGGGGATATATATGTGTCTTTATTGTGATTTTTTTTTTAACTTTTAAAATTCCATAATATTAAAAATTCTTTGAAAATATGATTTTTAACCCTTGTGTAATACTCCATTGTTCCTAGTTTTATTTCTTTGTTCCCCAATCCTTAGACATTTTGAGTTTTTCTATTCTTTTCATACTGTAAAAAGAGTAATGTAGAAAATACACTCACGTGAGTAAGGTATGATATATAGCTTTTAAATATTTTTATTTCCTTAACAAAAGGTATTTCGACAAGCAAGAGCAAATACTCCAGCAATTGTGTTTTTGGATGAAATTGATTCAATCCTGGGCGCCCGATCAATCAGCAGCACAGGATGTGATGTTCAAGAGCGTGTTCTTTCTGTTCTCCTGAACGAATTAGATGGTGTTGGACTGAAAACTATAGAGAGAAGAGGAAGTAAATCAGATCAACAGGGTAAATACAAGGAGCTGAAAAAAAATGAAGAGGTATTTATTAGCCAGATTACACTGAAAATCCCGGCCAACATGTAAACAATGCACCTACACTAGTGTTCCCTGAGCTGCATCCATCTTACAGAAAGAATTGTATAATTTTAGTTTGACTCTGTTCAGGTTCTTTCCAAAGCTGGTAAAATTGTGATTTAGCTGGAGAAAGTGAGGTAAATTTTATAACAACTTATTTAGCTGTACATGAATGTGAATTTTATTTATTCTAAGGTGAAGAAATATAACTTTACATATTATTAATAGAGGAGAGAGTTTCTTGTTATTTCTACATCCTGAAAAACCAGTGTTTATCCCTTTGTAAATTTTTTTTTTGGTGAAACAAAACATTATTGTTTTTAATAATTGTAGAATCGAAAATTCCAGTTTCCTTGAGGAAGGGGTATCCTTGGTTCTAATGAAGTTAAAGTGACCTTCGGAAGTTCCCGCTTTCCTTCTGAGTCTCTTCCAGATAGAGTTTGGTATCCTTAAATAGTCCCTGACAGATAATTTCCTTCTCTTCTGTTCTTTTCCTGTTACTACTTATTTCCCATTTTTAAAAATTGTTCCCTGTAAGGAAAGCCTTACAGCTCCTTAGGAATGTGTGCCACTAGAATTTGAAGGGACCCATGAAGTTTTCTAATCAAATCTCAAAATGCAGGGATTACTCAGTAGCATCTTACAGTGTTTATGCAGCCTCAGCTAAACACTTGCAGATAGAGGGAACTCACTGCTTTGAGAGATCACATTGCAGAGAACTATTGATGTTTTGATTATTCAGTTCCACAATCTTGCACGCTTCGTGTGTAAGGCCTTGCCCTGGCTGCTTATCTGCGGCCAAGGTTTATATACTTACAATTGAGGTTAATTATCATATTTCTGCCTCTGGAAAGAAAAATAAAAAGTAAATCTCTCTCTTTAAGGAGATGAGCCAAGACTTTTCATAGCCATACATCTCCATGTGTTTGTCATGTGCTTCTGTCTCTTCAAGTCATCCATTTCAGTTGTAAACACTCACTGAGGCTCAGGTGCCCTCCGATACCAGGTAGATGTTGTCTGGTCTGAGGTGAGACTTTTCTCGGAGAGATGTTCCCTCACAGTTGCCGCTCCCCTCATCACGTGCGCAAGCGGCTCTTTGATGAACAGTTTGCTAACGCAGTACCTTGAAATCAAGAAGGTAGTCTGGATAGGAGATACAAGCATTCTAGTCCCAAGAAAAAGATATCCCTACTTAAAAACAAATGGACCTATTGATTTGTAATTAAAAAAATACAACTAATGATTTATTGACATTATCTTGTGTGTTTTCTCTCAGAGTTTCAGGAAGTTTTTAATCGAAATGTCATGATTGTTGCGGCAACAAATAGACCGGATGTGTTAGACGATGCCCTGCTACGGCCTGGAAGGCTGGACAAGATTATTTGTATCCCACCTCCCGATGCAGAGGTAATCGTGGTGCACGTTTACTCTGTGTGAATGTCTGAACTTCCAGGGGCCTGGCAGATCGAATCCCAGACTGGGTTCTGCGTTCTTCCTTGCCTGGTGCCCTTCATAAATCATTTTTCCCATCTGCTTTTTTTGAGTGCTCTGGCCCTGCTTTTGGAGGAACATAAGCCCAAAAGTAAGGTAGTAATTTCAGTGAACTTACTAAGTTTGTTGAGTCTACTCACCATTATTTTGCAACCAGAATGGAGGAGTCTTAAAGGGTTAAAGGGGTTTTGGAGCTCATGTGGGACAGCATCTTTATTTCACAGTGGGGACATCTGACATGTCAGAGGTTACACAGTGTATCCACAGCCAAAGAATCAGTGAGTTCTCTGCCCTCATTGTCCAGAGCCACTGGCAGGGAGGTTGAAGGGCCCAGGGAATGGGCTTTGTCTTTCCTTGCGCTTTTCTCAAGTTTTGAAGGGATGAAAAAATTATTTAAATGTCTATTCTATTTTTCAGTTGTGTCTGATAGTTCATGTATTTACAACACTTTTAAACCTGTCTGATGGCACTGTTTGTACCCAAAAAAGAGACTTATCATGTCCCTTAAAGAGATGTATCTATGATTGGCTGTTTTAAACATTAACTGTAAAAATACTAAAATTTTATCATGATGTCATTTTTACCATTGCAGTATGAGCCATTGATGAATTAATCTTTTTTACCTCTTCAGAAGTGATTCTTTCTTGTTGTTTGATTCTTAAATATATATCCTTTCTATGTAACATAATAGGAAACTCTAATTTGAAATGTTTTTGTTTTTGTTTTAGTTGTGGTTGTTAATGAACTTGAATTGTTTTAATATAGCATGTGTCAAACAGAAATGCTGTAAGGTTATAAACATGTCACATTTTGTTCCAGGGCAGGCTTTCCATTTTGAAAGTCTGTGCCGAAAAGATGCCGGTGGGGCCTGATGTTTCCTTAGAAAGCCTAGCCGCAGAAACCCGCTTTTTCTCTGGGGCTGATCTTGGAAACCTCTGCAAAGAAGTAAGTTAATTAGTGAAGAAATGTTGGGTTTGAAGCATTTCTTCCTTTATTCAACTCTTCACTCAGTAGGCAGCATTTACTGACAGATGTCCATGTGGCAGGCCCCAGGCAAAGTGAAACAGTGGCAGCCCCCTTCCTACAGAGGTAGGGTTGACGGAGGAGTGTGCAGAGAGGCAAATCTTAACACTGAGTTGGCAACTGAAAATATGCAGTCAGTCGGGGAAGTTTAGGGTGCTGTGGAAGCACCCAGGAAGAACTCCAGACTTGGGTGTCGTAGAAGGCTTTGCGAGAGAGGGTATGTGAACTGGAAGTGGGGGGATGATGAAGGAGTTACCGGGCTAAGGAAGGGAAGGGGAGTGTTTGAGGCAAGGGGAATAAAATATGCAGACGATTGGAGTCAAGAAATGACATGACATTATTGAAGTGGGCAGTGGCTGGATTACTCAGGTCCTTCTAAGCCACTTTAAGGCATTTAGACTTTATTTTGAGGACGAAAGAAGCCATTGTCCATGTTTTTCCCTTTCCATAAACTTTAAGTTTAAATAAATTTTATTATTATTTCTTTAATTTTATCTTTTAATCACAGTTTATATTCAGTACTATTTTGTATCAGTTTCAGGTATATAGTGTAGTGGTTAGACAGCCATACTTTCCCTCATAGTCTCCTGATATTTTTAGAACACACCTAGCACCATACATAGTTACTGACTATATTCCTTATACTGTACTTTACATACCCTTGACTACTTTGTAACTACCAGTTTGTACTTCTTATTTTTCACCCAGTCCCTCAATCCTGCTCCCCTCTGTCAACCATCAATCTGTTCCCTATATCTGTGAGTCTGTTTCAATTTGTTCATTTATGTCGTTCTTTAGATTCCAGGTATATGTGAAGTCATATGGTATTTGTCTTTCTCTGTCTGACTTATTTCACTTAGCGTAATACCCTCTAGGTCATTCCATGCTGCTGCAAATGGTAAGATTCCATTCTTTTTTATGGTCAAGTAATATTCCATTGTATATATGCACCACAGCTTTTTTATCCACTTGTCTATTAGGGTCACTTGGGTTTCTTCCATATTTTGACTATTGTAAATAATGCTGCAGTGGACATAGGGGTACATATATTCTTTCCATAAACTTCTGTAAAATATAACATTCAGAAAAATGCATAGATCGTATGGGTACAGTTCATGGAATCAACACAAAGTGAACACATTTGTATATATACCACTTAGCTTAAAGAAGATCATTGTCAACACCCCAGAGTCTCCTTGGGCCTTCCCACACTCTACCCCAAAGGAAACCACTCCTGCACATTCAGGGTACCTGCTGCTTTACCATTACGAGCTGTGCTGCTGTGAACAATCTTGTACATGTCTTTTGGTATACATGTGTATGTGTGTCTGTTTCATGTATGTACATATCTACAAAGAGAATTGCTGGGTCATAAAGTATGTGTTTGATCTGTTCCTTTGTGATCAGTGCTGTGTCCCTGTTTGGAAACTCCTAGTCTGAGGTCAGGAAGATCGTCTCTGATCTTCACATATGTATGTGGGCTCATAATGTACATATTATTCTGCAACTTTTTCTTTTTTTCCTGTTTAAGGCCAGAGATTAATGTAGAAGAAAAGTTCTACTAAGAGGACTTTTAATTACTAACTTTATAGCTTAATGTTTTGGTTGTAATGAATATTGGAATTCTATGCAGCGGGACTGAGCTGTTTGCATTCATACTTTTTGTATATTATAAAACAAAAATGAAGCAGACTATTTCTTATTGTATCCCTTAGGCTGCCTTGCTGGCTCTGCAAGAAAATGGACTAGAAGCAACCACTGTGAAACAAGAGCACTTTCTAAAATCACTTCAGATTGTAAAGCCGTCCTTAAGTCACAAGGATTTGACTTTATATAAAAACTTATTTCAGAAACAAGGATTTTCTAATTTAGAGGATATTTAAGAAGTATATACCTGCTCAAGAATTAATTGAAATGTGAACTTGAACTATAGTTTGCAATTTCACAGTCTTAGAGTGTGTACATATGTTATTTCTTGTAAATAAAACAAATTTGTGCCTGATAAGCCAAGATTTATCCTATTTCTAAAAGGTGTGTTAAAATACCGTAATTTAGGAAGAAGGTATATGTATGTGTGTTGATTATGCAATGGCGGAGGTGGATTGGTTTGGTTTGGTTTGGGTTGATTGCATTTTTAACTTTATTTTGAAATAATTTCATACATGCAGAAAAGCTGCAAGAATAGAATAGAGAACTCTGATATATTCTAACCCATATTCACCAATTTTTTATACTTTGCCATATGCTCAACTACAGACATATCTCATTTTATTCCTCCTCGCTTTACTGTGCTTCACAGTGTTGCATTTTTCACAAATTGAAGGCAGGACCTCCCCCACCCCGCCCCCGCACCAGTAAAAAGATTACAGCTCATTTTATTGTGATACTTTATTGCAGTGGTTTGAAAGTGAACCTGTCATATCTCTGAGTTATGCCTGTGTTTAAGAATAGATATTATACCCAGAATTTCATCTGGATAAGATTCTCTTGCATGTGGACTGGGAACTTAAAAAATCTGAAATATGATAACATTCTCATGAAATTTAAATATCTCAAGAAGCTGTACAATTATTGAGCATTCACTGTGTGGTGGGCATTGTGCTGGCCTCAAGGATCTGGTGTAGGAAAGGATGCATTTGAGAGCGACCGATGGGAAGATCTCAGGGGTAATCGGATGTGGCTGGGGCAAGTCCAAATGGCTCTGAGATCTCTCACCTGATTGCTGGACCGGTGGTGGTGCCAAGACAGAATGTGGGAGGGAGAGAAATGGGGACTGTTCAAGGGAGGGGTGGATAAGGAAGAAAATGAGTTAGATGAGGTATGTGCCTTGACTGGGAGTCAAACCCACAATCTTTGTTATAGGACGATGTTCCATCCAACTGAGCCACACTAGCCAGGGCCAGTGTATATTTCTTACAAATAAGGTTTATTTTCTTATGTGACTACAGTGCATTTATCAAATTAAAAAAATTAAACATTAATACGACATCAATTTATCACCCTGTGGTTTTCTATCCATCGTACCAGTAGTCATTGGTTTCCTGTTTCAGAATCCAGTTTAGGATCATATATCCATTTAGTTGTTCGTTTTCCTCTTTAGCCTCCTAAAATCTGAAACAGTTCCTCAGGTTTTTTAGAACTTGACATTTTTGAAGAGTACAGACTAATTATGTCACAGAACAGTGGTTCCTGATTTGTGTTTGGTATCACATGGTGGTAGATTCTGGTTACACGTCACCAGCCGAGCCAAACGTAAGTGCCGTTCTGTCAGCTCAGCCAGAGGCACGGGATGTCGGTGTTATCGGTCATGTTAATTTTGATCACTTGTTTATGGATGACCCAGTTTCTCCACTGTATAGCTACTATTTTTCCCTTTTGTAAGTGTATTTTTTTAGGAGATAGATCACATGTACATTTTAATTTTCCTTTATCACAAAAATAATTAGAGTGCTAAAAAATACAGATAATCACAGAGAAAGCGCTTGGGTGTTGTTTAACCTTCCAGTCCCTTACACAGGTATAGATCAGATGATACTATGTACTTGCTTTTCTCACCTAGCAATACCTGGTAAGCATCTCACTGAGCCTTTCTTCACTCACAAGGTGCCCTAGCAGTTGTTGGAGTTAAGTGAATGAGACAGACAGGACCTACAGGTAAGCTGGAGCACAGGTCTCAGACAGGTCATGCAGTGAATTACATACAACCAGGAGTTGAGGGTATGATCAGACCGTAGTGCGTGAAATATACAAAGCCATAAATATTAAGTCGTTGGAAAGTTGTCTGTTTCTGACTGGAGCCAGGACACATTAGCAAAACCTTATCTTTTGGGGAATAATTATTTATAGATATGACATTGTAATTCATCTAAATTATTCTAACAAGCTGGTCCCTTGCTTTTGAGTAATGAGGCAAATGCCTAGAAAAACTTAGAATTCGACAGCTTTCATTCATCTTCTCTATCAGTTGATTTTGTAGGACAAGGCAGCCTTTAAGCTTTGCCAGCCCTGGGCCTGAGGCACCCTGGCCTGAACCCCTTAACTCTGACTCTAGCTGTAGGCCTCTTGTTTTTTCCCTGAAAAAGTTGAGCATATCAGGCTGGAAATTTAGTATCCACGTTTTGGTTAGAAGCTCAATTTTTATTTGAAAATGTCTGTTAAAATTGTAACTATAACCTCTTATCAAACCTTTGGAAGCCCGCTGAGGACAAAGCCATGTGTTTTCTCTCATTGGAATACTCAATAAGTGAGGAAATGAGATCAAGGATTTCTTTGACTCGGCTTTTTTCCCATTCACTTTTTTAAAGATTTTATTTATTTATCTTTAGAGGGGAAGGGAAGGAGAGAGGGATAGAAATACCAGTGTATGGTTGCCTCTTGTGTGTTCCCCGCTGGGAACTGGCCGGCAACCCAGGCATGTGCTCTGACTGGGAATTGAACTGCAGTTGCTTGGTTCGCAGGCCTGCGCTCAATCCACTGAGCTACACCAGCCAGGGCCCCATTTATTTTTTAAGTTAAGTTTACTGGGGTGACATTGGTCAATAATGAATTTCAGGTGTGCAACCTTACATCTGTATATTGTACTGCGTGCTCACCACCCACAGCTTAGTCTCCAGCCGTCACCACATATTTGACCCCCTTTACCCTCCTCATCCTCCCCCCACCTCAGTTCACCTTTGGTAACCACCTCTCCGTTGGCTCTGACTCAGTTTTCATGTGATTGAGGATGGCTCTGTGCAACTTCCAAAAGCTGTTCTTGGTTGGTGGGAAAACTGAAGCACTTCAGTTTCTAAGCGCCTGGGAAGTATGAATATCTTTCCTGGCACATGCAGCGCAAACTCCTTTCCGAGCCACTCTAAGATCCTTAAACAATAAAGTAGTACACCTCAGATATGCCAGCATTTAGCAGATCCAGTATTTGCTAAACCTGCTAACTAGGTAGCCATTGAAGAGTGGGCAGAAAGAATTTCAACAAAAAATATTTAATAAAAACATTTTTTTTCTCATCAAGCATGAGCTGAGCTGATTGAAGTCTAAGTTTAAATTCCTGGTGTGGGAACCAAGCAGTCATGACTCCATGTTTCTGAAAGCCTGAGTTGCAGCAATTAGAGAAGATTTCAGCAGTTTCTGGCAATTGAGGTGAAGAGGGGAAGCTCCAGGATTATGGGCTTTGGGGCAGCCACAAAGGGTGAAGCGTCCTGAGTGGGTTCCTTTGGTTTTATTTATTTATTTATTTTAGAGATTTTATTTACTTTTAGAGATGGGAAGGGAGGGAGAAAGAGGGAGAAAAACATCCACGTGAGACAGAAACATTGATGGGTTGCTTCTCGTACACTCCTGGTCCTGGGATGGAAACCGCAACTCAGGCATGCACCCTGACTGAGAATCAAATTGGTGACCTTTCTGGGACCACACCCAACCAACTGAGCCACACTGATCAGAGCTGGTTCCTTCTGGGTTCTGTGTGGGAGCTGTGCCTACTAGGCATCTTGGGAAAGACCAGATTATATACTGACCTTGTATCTCCCACAAATTCAGTAATCTGGGCATTAACTGAAGGCGGGGGAGGTGGGTTTCTGGGTGTAACTGCGATAGAAATAAGCAGATTTTAAAGGTTATATGGACACACTACATCTGTAACTATACATGCATCCAGTATGTGGATTTTAAAACACTTCCTGAACATTTTCAAACGCATGTAAAAATGGAATAGACCAGCAAACTCCCACATACTTAACTCTAGATTAAATACTATTTTGCTAAATTTGCTTTATTAGTTTTTTATTAAAGTGATTTAAAGTAAATTTCAGACATCACGTTTCTCTCTTAACTCTTTCCATATACATATATACACTCTTTAAAAAGGATTTTTTTTACATAACCATACCACCATTACCACGCCTAACAAAATTAACAACACTTAATATTTCATATCTAGTCTGTATTTATAGTTGCCCCCAAAATGTCTTTTGACAGTTGGTTTTTCTGTTCAAATAAATACCCTCACCTTTGATATGTTTGGCCAGATCCCCTTAGTCAGAATTAATCATCTGTTATTGGTACTAGATTATGCCTGGGGTTAGAATTCATGGGCACTACATTGTAAGAACCTTGAAGTAAGAGACTTGTGTCTTATTAATCCTTTGAATTTACTGTGCCCCTGTTCTCAGAACAATGCCTAGACTACTACAAAACTGTACTGCATTTCGAAAAGAAATAACATCAACAAAGCAGCACTCTGAATTTAAGGTCATTATACATTCTAAGATTTCTTCCTGTCTCGCACCTACCCTTCCTTCCTAGAAAAACTTACATTTAATTAATAAAACAAAGCTTTTTAAAGAATCTTATGAGAAAAGTGGCTTTAGAAATTCTGCCAAAGGAGCACTTAAAGGCTTCTTTAATTCAATTCAATACACACTAGGGAGAATTAAAGCTGAATTTTCTTAAGTATCTGATATGAATCAGACCAATAGGTAAATGTCTCCAGTTACAGCCCTGGGTTTACACAGTAAGAATCCTTGTCAGAGTAAGTGGGTGAGAAGCTACATTTATAATCTGTTTTATATAAAACATATCTTTGTGAATAATAGTTACTGTTTAATTGAGTATCTATTGTAAGCAATGCAGAATGCCATGTGATTTACTTATACATGTGTAAGTATTCTAACTCCCCCCCCCCCCAAACTTCCCCCTGAACTAGGTTTGTTCCACATTATAGGTATACAACCTGAGACTCATAAAGGTTAGGTAGTTTCTCAAAGTCAGTAGGCTAATTAAGTGGGGCAGGGGTGGGTTCTGACCTTAGGTCACAGGTGGCAAACACAAGGCCCTTGGGCCAAATCCGGCCCTCCACCTTGTTTTATCCTGCCTGGAACGTTGTTTCTACCCCACAGCTGTGCCAAGCTCTCACTTAACTGTTAAGGAGTAGTTACATTTATACAGTCCTAAAATTTCGCTTGGCCCTTTGAAGTTAACCCCCAGGCTGATGTGGATCCCCGTGAAAATGAATTTGACACCCCTGCCTCAGGAAGAATTACAATGGGGTTGAAAGAGAGCGACGTCTGGCTCTTTCCAGTGTACATCAAGATGTTTCCATTTTAACCTTAACTCATAGCTTGAACTTCAGACAGTTTTAAAATAACTGTTTTAAATAACTTTTTAAATTTGAGCTTGCGTGCTTGCTTAATTGCAGTAACTAGGAGTGGGGTGCACAAAGAACAGTGATGAGTGCCAGACAGACCTGGGTTCTGAAGACGGCTCTGCCACTTACTAGCTATGTGACTCGAGCATCTCTGAGCCTTAATAACATACTTTGCCTGCAGAAATGTCGAGATTTTGCCACAGGGCCTGGCACATGGCTCCTGTTTTAATGGAACTGTTGTTAACATTGTTTCCCTGGTTTTGCAGCCTTGCACAGACTGTGCAAGGTGAGGCTGGTAGCTTAGGGGTAAATTAAACAGGGATTTGAAGATGAAGCCAGCAGACTGGGTCGTCTCAGAAATGGACCTTATTCTAGAAACCGTTCCAGCTGATTCTTTTTGTTCTTCTTCACCCTTGACTTTTTTACGGGGAAAAAAATCGGGATAAAAAATTATTCTGGAAGGAACTTTACAACTAATGTGATTGGATTCATTATAATATAGCTGCCTGCACCTGGCAGCCTCCCCCTGTGGGGCCTCCGCTCCGCAGCTTCTTTTCCGGACCCCCTTTTAGCTGTGTTGGTTTTCACATGTGTCTGGTTTGCAGTTCCACTCCCTCGTAGACGCCTGGGATGGCTGGGCACCACCCAGAGGGTCAATGCTCAGCCTGGGCTCCCGCCGGTCGGCGGGTAAGAACCGCGGCAAACGGCAGGGGGCCCCCGGCGCCCGCATTTGGCTGCGCAGCGTCTGATGGGCACAGTGTCCTGTAGGGGGCGCCCTGGAGCAGGAGCCCCGCGAGGAAAGCGAGTCAGGTCCCGCACGTCCCCCACCCGACCCGTGACTGTGACCAGAACGCCCTGGCCAGGCCCTTCCGGCGGGCTGTGGTCAGTATATAAGGAGCGGAGGCCCGGGCTTCTTTTGGCTGTGGCCGTTAGCAGCGTCCGCGCGCGTCGCCCCGCCCCGCCCCGCCGCGCGGGTGAGCCGGCCCCAGGCTGCCCCCTGGAGTTCGTTGGCCTTTTTTGCCCACCAGGTTGGGTTCAAGGGGCTGAAGTTTTGGTCAATATCTTGGATTTTTTTTACTCTAGATTTGGCATTTTACGCTGAGGTCGTCATGAACTTTTTTCGACTCCTGATGAAAAAGAAGGAAGTAAGTATTTAAAGCAACTGAAAATCTTGACTCAGTGTTTTTAATTTTTAAAGACGAACAGGTGGTGCATAGCTATTCTGTGATAGGTCAGATATTTCACACTGAAACATGGGAATATTTACCCTCACCCTGTTCCTCCGCTAGCTTATTCCTTTGGTGATGATCATGACGGCGGCCGCGAGCGGAGCGACGTCTTTTGCTGCATATTCCCTTAAGAAGTCCGATGTGATGTAAGTAGACATTTATTATTAAAACGTTATTAGCAATGTTAGGATGATCACCTTCAGTTTATAAAATGTATGATATCGATTTCCTAGCTTCCCCCCAGGACAAGAATGCCAAACTGCGAAGTTGGAGTCAGGGCTAGAAAGCGTCCCGATAACAGAAGACTATTAAATTATGATATTTGTAAACTTAGTTTGTTCATTAATTCTAAATACTTTTTTATCCATTGTCCCCCCTTCTCCTGCAGCAAAGTTTGTTTTTTTTAACTTAAATTTTGATCATTTAACATTCTTAAATGATCTTTTGGGATATCCATCATAAAACTTATATAATCATTTTAATGATATTTTAAATTAAAAAAACATTTATTTTTTAGAGAGAGGGTAGGGAAAGAGAGAGAGGAGAGAAGCATCTATGTGTGAGAGAAATATGCCTCTCACACATCCCCAACTTGGGACCTGGCATAAAATCCGGGCATGTGCCCTGACAAGGAATTGAACTGGTGACCTTTCCATGGGTAGACCAGCGCTCAACCAACTGAGCCACACCAGCCAGGTATTTTATTTTACTTATTTACTTATTAAAGATTTTACTTATTTATTTTTAGAGAGGGGAGGAGAGGAAGAAAGAGACAGAGAGAGAGAAAGCAATGTGTGGTTACCTCTCATGCACCCATTACTGGGGACCTGGCCCACCACCCAGGCATGTGCCCTGAGTGGGAATCGAACCAGCAACCCTTTTGTTCACAGGCTGGCACTCAAGCCACTGAGCCACACCAGCCAGGGGTCAAATTTTGAAATTTTGATTTGCTAGAAAGATCTTTCCTAATGTGGTAGAGTTTATAGATTCAGTTATTTGCAATGAATCTAATGTCAGCTGTGGATATCAGGTAAAATACCATATATTGTGGAATATGAGGAACAGAGAAACTTGAAATGGAGACTGGCCCAGTGCAGGGCTAGAAAGGGCAGCTTTGGCAAGGGGGCCTAGGGCTCTGCAGTTCACCACCTGCACTGTTCAAGCCCAGCCCTTCCGTTGGTCCCAGAAACCAGGGCAAGGACATTTTTGCTTTCTGTTAGCCTGCATTTCTACCCCTATTGCTATTCAGCTTTTGAGAATATTCTCCAATCTAGCCCAATCAAGGGAATTCAGACCTCCTATGCTGCAGAGGAATTAATCCCTAATGTTTGAGTAAAACCTGTGAAGCCCCTTTAAGGAATCTTCCAGCACTTTCAGTTAACTAACAGATGAATCGCCTCAGTGTGCAGTCTGGGTCTGTCCCCAGCATGTTTATAGACCCAGTATCAGAGTTGGTTGAAATTCACCTACTTTTATGTTTAATCTGCTTTATTTTATTTGTAGCATTGATCGAAAAAATAATCCAGAACCTTGGGAAACTGTGGATCCTAATGTACCTCAAAAGGTATTTCTGAACTTAAAAAAGTTGTTTACATTTAGTCCAAGCCTTAGCATCGTTGCCAGCAAAACAGATTTAATACTTTCCACTTTTGGGGGCCGTTTAGTGTAGAATCAATAAGAATGCTGTAGAGTTGCAGAGATCTAGTTCAAATTCCTACTCTGTTATTCACAGGTGATTTTACAATCACCTCACCTGTGAATAATGGAGCAGGCTCTCAGTCTATAACAGGGGCACAATAATAGGGTTAAGAGGATTAAAGAAGATAAAATACATTGAGTCCTTTAGCATGGTGCCTGGCCTGTAGTAGACACTCAAATATTAACTTTTTTTCATAATCACAATATATTATCTCATTTTATCCTTTTATCTCATTACCTCATTTTATACTTATATAAATTTAATATAAGGTCTTTTGTAACACAGGAGTTCCTGAAAAACAGAAGAAGCATTCACTTCAAGCAAAAGTAGCTAATATTCACTTATTCTTTTGAGACTATTGCAAAGACTTCTTGTGTTTTAAATATTTTGGAAGTAATAAAGTTTAGTCTGTTAGACTGAACAATACTTAGGTCTGTCAGGAAAGCTATTTTTTTTTTAACAAAACTTTCAAATAACACAGTCTGGCTTGGTGAGGACATTTATAATCTTTTAAAGCTGCCTACATCTCATGGGTTCTGGAGGAACAGAGACTTGTGAGGATAAATGAGAATTTCTGAATGTGACTTCTTTGGATGTCGAGGAGTATCCATGGCTCTGTCCTTTTTCCCTTATTGTATCATTTAGATGCTTTGTACTTTTTGTGAGTAATCGGAATGAGGAAATTTTGTGTAGAGCTGCTGTCTGCCACATCCTGCACTCAGAGCATTATACATCCACTCATGGGGAGTGGGCTCGCTTTTTAAACTCAAAGTTCATGTGAAGCCATGGGAAATTTAAAATAAAAAGTTAAAGGAAAGAGGGGCAGAGATATGAGACCTTTCTCTCTGATCCTATAACCCCCAGGAATGCAAGGGGGTTTTGGAGGGATAGGGTGATGGAAACCAGCCTATTTTACTATCTTGTCCACATTTTAGAGATGGGAAGAGGTGATCCTTTGATTACAAATGTTACGGTGATGCCTTTTCTAAAGAGGAGCGTGGACAAACCCCCAAAGGGGATGTGAGGATAAAGGACAGATCCTAATGAATGATTTTATTTTGCTTTTTTATTTAAGCTTATAACAATCAACCAACAATGGAAGTCCATTGAAGAGCTGCAGAAGGTCCGAAGGGCAACCAAATGACCAGTCCTTCTTCTGAGGAGTGCTCGCTGAATCTAGTACTTCCTGTACAAACTACCGGGAGATGATGGACACCAGTATGTGGAAATGCTACCTTTTTAGGGCTTGCCTACATTTTTGGACTCTGGATAAAGAATTATAAAGGTAGTGCAGCGATAACCACATAATCTAAAAATAAGTTTGTTGTTGTACATTGGAATTTTGTATATTGAAATTTTTATGTTTATGATGCCTGGATGTTTTTCTTAAAGTGTGTGAAGATTTATAAATTAGATTATCTATAATAAAATGCCATTTGTGCACGATTTCCTAAAGATTAAATACATATTTAAATGGGGGAAGAAGTCTTGCTGAAGAAAAACACCTTTTAAAGCATAGCACTTTACCAGCCTGTGAACCAAAGAGTTGCCAGTTCAATTCCCAGTCAGGGCACATGCCTGGGTTGTTGGCCAGGTCCCCAGTAGGGGGTGCACAAGAGACAACCACACATTGATGTTTCTCTCCCTTTCTTCCCCTCTCTCTAAAAATAAACAGATTATTTTTTAAAATATTAAAAAATAAAGCATAACCCTTCATATTTTAATTAATATTCAGTACAAATTTCTGGGTACACTTTTCTTCCAAGTTTATTCATCTGCCAGAAAGTTATCGAGCATCTACTGTTAGCTTGGCACTGTTCAGGTGCAGGTAAGATAAAGCAATGAATAAAACCAACTTCTGGAGAGAGAGGAATAAAAAAGGTGGTGAGTGAAGGACAATGAAGAGACGGGGCAGAGACCTGCTGGAGGATTGCACCGGGATTCTGGTGCGAACAGGAATGTGAGGTATGTTGAGATTGGCCCTACAGAGGCTCCTGTGAGGACTGTGCTAAGGAGGATGAACAGCACCCTGCAGAGTCTGGGCCCCTCTCTATTCTGGCTGCTGGTGACCTGGAGACCAGAGGTGCAATCAAACCCAGCATGCCCCTGGGTTCCCCTTGGACTGTTCCATAAAATTGCTTTCTGTTCACTTTTTTAAACAATTGAGATATAATTCCAATACCATAGTATTCATCCACTTAAAGTACACAATTCAGTGGTTTTTAGTATATTCACAAAGTTTTACCACCATTTCTACCATCGAATTCCAGAACATTTTCATCACCTGCAAAGGACCCTGTACCTATTAGCAGTCATTGCCGATTCCTGACCCCAGCTCCAGGCAAACACTAATACAATGTATCTCTATGGATTTGCCCATTCTGCACATTTTATATAAATGAAATTACACATTATGTGGCCTTTGCATCTAGCTTCTTTAACTTAGCATAACGTCTTCAAGATTCATCCTTGTTGTGACATGTATCAGTATTTAATTTCTTTTTATGCTAATGTCCCACTGTATAGATAGAGCATGTTTAGTTTATCCATTGGCCGATGGACATTTGGATTGTTTCTACTTTTTGGCTTTGTGAATAGCCACATACAAGTTTTTGTCTAGCTATATATTTTTCTTTCAGGTACACACCTAGGTTTATTAACTCTTTTAGATAGAGGTGATAAATGCCTTTTTCTTAATTTCCCTCTGAATTTAATAGAAATTTAAGAGAAGGGCTAAACTCCCATTACCTTCACAACAATAAAAATTAACTAGAGGCTTGGCAGTTCTGCAGGGGTTCGGGCCCCAGGTGATCCCATCTGCTGCTTCCTTCTCACCTCACCTTCTCCAGATAAAAATCTCCAGTGGCTGATTTCCAGGAATTACTCACACCAGTTAGGAAGCACACTTCTTTGCTTAATCTCAAGTGCAGTGCATTACCGTTTAGGCAAATCAGAATGAACAGATGTCGTGGCTGGCCAGCTAGGAGAGCAGATTTGTGAAGGGTGACTGTGCCCTTCAACTTGGAAACGCAAACCTGCCTGAAATGCAGTGGCTTTAGGGGCGAGCATGTGACGGAAGGTGCTGTGCTGGCCGTTGGGAGGGACAAAGGCCAAGACACTTTAAGGTCAGAAGGTCAATTTTATTTTTGGTTGTATTCTTAGCATTTTTCCTGAATGTTTTATTTGAAATGTTTTCAAATACGCAGAGTTGAAAAGTGAGTACAAAAATACATTCTTTATCAATTAACATTTTTGCAAATTTGCTGTATCTCTGTATATTATGCTTTCTTAAAATGAATTCTTTGAAAATAAGTGACAGGCATCATAAAACTTTTTATGCCTAAGCGAAAGGACATGCTCACTGGCTGTAGTGCCATTATCATCTCTAAGAAGCTGAACATTCTTTCAGTAATATCACCTCCCATATATCCCATTCACATATTCTCTAACCGTAATGTCCTTTGTGACTACCATTAAGTCCACAATCCAAGGTTCCCCTGTTGTGAATACTTGACACAGGTGTGGTCATGAAAATGACTCCGAAGAAGCTCGTGTTGAACCATTTCCTCTTCAGAGTTTAATCTCTATAAGACTCTCCTGCATGTGCCCCGGGAACGTTAAAAATCTGAAATATGATAACATTCTCATGAAATTTAAATATCTCAAGAAGCTGTACAATTATTGAGCATTCACTATGTGGTGGGCATTGTGCTGGCCTCAAGGATCTGGTGTAGGAAAGGATGCGTTTGAGAGTGGCCGATGGGAAGATCTCAGGGGTAATTGGATGTGGCTGGGGGAAGTCCAAATGGCTCTGAGGTCTCTCACCTGATTGCTGGACCGGTGGTGGTGCCAAGACAGAATGTGGGAGGGAGAGAAATGGGGACTGTTCAAGGGAGGGGTGGATAAGGAAGGAAATGAGTTGGACTTTGGAATAGTTGCGTTGGAGAGCTACCTGGGTAGATTACTTCTGGAGAACTACAAAGAGGCGTGAGCTGTGGACGGTTCAAGGGATGGTGAAACCACAGCTTAAAGGAGATCGCCCACATAGGTGATCTCACTCCAGAAAAGACATAGTAATAATTATATGTTTGGTATACAATATAAAACATATCCTTAGGAAGAGATGTCCATTTCTTAGAAATCACTATATTAACACAAGCATATTGCATATGGTTTCCCATTCAAAAGTGATGGTGTGTGGTTTGAATAAGGAAAAAGGGTAAAGATCGTGACGAGTGGGATGAGTGTTTCTGGTGATTGTCCCTTAGCATGTGTTTCGCCCATGCTTAGAAAGCTGCCTTGGGTAATGACAGAATTTCCAGAAACTAGGGCTTTGGTTTTGCTTTTGTCTTGGCGGTGGCTTACTGTATTATTTGCCTGTGTGCATACTGCCTTAAAGTGAAAATTAGCATAAAATTAAGGAACACCCAAATTTTATAACTATTGCTCGTTCACCTTGTATGCCTAATATAACACACATATAATAAAATGCTACTAATTGGAGAGTGGGCATCCTGTGTAGAGAAATTAAACTCCACTTTTTCGTGTTCACATCAAGTAGCACAGGTGGGTTTTTCCCCAGTTGTGTGTCACCGTGAAGTTCAGAGCGCCCCTCAGCGTTTGGGAAGGCAGGTTAACCTGACGGGCTACTTCACACTGACTTTCTTACCTGACTTCTCCCTCTCAACGCAAGTGAGCGATGGGCTTGTGGCACAGGGCCAATGTGGCCTATTGCTTGCTTGTCATTTCGGAGGCAAGTTCACTGGGCCAACCACTGAACGTCTCTCAAATTTTAACTGTTTCAGACTTTACTGTAGTGGCACCATTGACATTTAAGTTACTTTTTAAATCAAGGTACCATTTATATGTACTAAAGTGAGCAGGTCTTAATTTTCCAGTTAGAAGAGTTTTGATAATTACTATCTGTGCCCATTACACCATGCAGAAGAAGCTACTGAGCATTTCAATCACCCCCGAAGTTTCTCTTGTGGCAACACTTAATTTTTAAATGAAAAACCACTGAATTGTTTATTTATACTTAAAGGGGTGAGTTTTAAGGTATGTGAATTATACTTCAAAAAGAAAAGAAAAAAGAACATGCTCCACATTTACGTGCTATCTCACCTCAACAAATAACAGGCTGGAATAATTTCCCCCCACTGTCTGAAGTAACCCCCACTCCTATGTGTTACAGTTGATTTAAATTTTTCCAAAATCAGGAAATTGGAAGTTGCTGAAGATGGTAAAAAACACACCGACAGGACCAGTTGGGAAGGGCTGACCATTCAGTCTGTTCACGTGGTGCCAACAAGAAGGTTCATTGTGAAGAGAACAAGGAGTGGCCTCCACGCACTGGGCTTACCTCGTGTCTGAGTGATGGGTGGACCACCACCCACAAAGGAAGGCGGAGTGCAGAGTGCCATAGCAACAAGTCTATTCCTGCAGTGAATCCTCCCCAGAGCAAGGGGAAATGCCCGTCCTGGCCGGGCCCTGGCTGCCTGACCTGAGGAGCAGTGGATTTATCAGGTGTGTAGGTAGATCATCTGCATTTGTGAACATCATTTCTCTGCAGAGATGACCCTAGCTCCACCCACACTGGGACAGATGGCGGTGGCTCTGCCAGTAACAAACAAATCTTACATTAATTTAGCTTCAGAGTTGACACATAGGCCAGGAGCAAGTGGACAGGTCAGCACCTGACTCCAGGCTGTCAGTCATGAACTAGGGGGCCTGGGCAAGTTTTCTAACTTCTTGGAATCTTATTTTGCAAAGAAGGTTCATCTCAGGGGCAAACTCTGAGGTAGGTTAATATTAAGAAATATTTGCAGAGATATTTCCCTTCTGCACTACTTCCTCATTGCTCTTCCTCTGGCCAGCTTGAAGCCAGGAGTGCAGCTTGCCTGGGGTGAGGGCTGAGATGCAAGAATGAACGATCCTACCCTAAGTGCAGTTTGGTGGAAGGGCAGTATCAGCACCACCCGGGAGTGATGGGGATTCTGGGACCACACCGAGACCTACTGAGTCAGGATCTCGGGTGTAGCGGGGGTCCAGGATTCTCTGTGTGTGTGTGTGTGTGTTTTGAAATCTTTTTAAAAAAAATTTTGTTGTTCAAGTACAGTTTTCCGCCTTTTCCCCCATCTCTCCCCCAACCCCAGCCATCCCCACCTCCCTCCCCTTATTCCACCCCACCTGGGTTTTGTCCATGTGTCCTTTGTAGTTGTTCCTGAAAACCTTTCACTTTTCCCCCCATTATCTCCTTCCCCCTCCCCTCTGATTATTGTCAGATTGTATTTAATTTCAATGTCTCTGGTTGTATTTTGCTTACTTTTTTGTTTTGTTGAGTAGGTTCCTGTTAAAGGTGAGATCATATGGTATTTGTGCAATACCATAAGCCACCTGGCTTATTTCACTCAGCATAATGCTCTCCAGTTCCATCCATGCTCTTG